ATGGTCGACTTCATATCCCAATTCTATTGTTGTTGTTGGAACTATTGTATTTATTTTAAAGATTCTTCGATTGACTTCCTGAACCACTATCGTCTGGTTGATCCTATGAACCTGGACAGCTACGCTAAAGCCTTTGTTGTGGAGGACACAGACTATGACACAGTCTTAAATTCTTCAGTATGCTCATTTTCTGTTTAAGATGTCTAGTACTTCTCTTAGAAATCCCAGGGGAAAACAGAATTTTCCTGTCTTAGAAATAATTCCGAAAAGTTTTGTATAGAACAAGGAGGGTAATGACAAAATCAGACCCCTTATTTGACAAAAAATGAAACCCAGTTAAAATAAAATCCCCCAATGTGATGCATTCTTCAAAGTCAACCTTTCATTTATTTTCAAACATATTATTGCATGAAATATGTTTTATCCAAAGATAAATAAGTTTCAATCCCCCCTTTTTTTATCAAAATTAACCTTATTTGATGAAAAATGACCTTATCTGAGGAACTTTTGTAAATGAGTAACTTTGTGACTATCGTTTGTTTGTGTTTGTTTTGTGTTGTTTGTGTGTGTGTGTATGCTACCTTTTCAAGCCAAATTCAAACCTTGCAACTGCCGTTATTTATGTATTGGATTGGTTTTGAGTGTCCCCCAATAAATGGCCTAAACATATCCTTTTCTATCAGATGATTTCAATCTTGTTCTTTCCTATGCTACATTAATTTGGTTTGGAAAATTATCGAAAAACAGCTAAAAAATGTAGTTTGTTTAAATTATATATAGACAGACAATTTTTTCGATTAGCCTTTAATTATTTAGGGTTTTGCTTTTTTCTTCTACTTGCTTTGATTATTCCTTTTTGACAGATGCATGTGAAAATTTGTTTTTTTATTCTGTTCTTAGGATGCAAAGATTGCTCTAGATGGAATTGAAATGTTGCAGCATATGACAGATAAACAGCTCGATTATGTTTTTAAGGTATAAATAAGCCTTTAACAGATTTTTGAACAATATAATAAAATTAAAGTCTTTTTGTTCACCAACGATAGATGGTTTTTCACTTTTTTGTACATTTTTTTACAGGTTCTGCACATCGATGAGGCATCTCAAGTGACCTTTAAGATGTTTGCTGTTATCACTGCTCTATGTGAAAGAGTCACAAATATGGAGTAAGATAAATACCTGTCATACTTAAGAGGTCTTTAATTCTTTGTAATAATATTATGATATTCACTAAGATTTATATTATAATATGTAAAGTCTGGTGTAGACTCATCTACAAAAATAGTTAAAATCGTCATTTTTGTATTGTGTTTGCTTTAGTTGACCATTTTTTTTCCTTTCCGGGTTGTTGAAAAAGAAGATTTGACTATTTGTAGAATATGACAAGTATTCTGCAGTAATTATGGTGGCATATCCCTAGCAAAAAAAATACTATAGTTAACTATAGTTTTCTATAGTTAACTATAGTGATAACTTTGCCACTATGAAAACTATAGTTAACTACAGTGATAACTTTGATTTAGTATAGTGATAACTTTGACACTTTGATTTACTATAGTGATCACTATGACATTATAGTGATAACTGTGAAAACTTTGAAATAATATAGTGATCACTATGAAAACTTTGATTTACTATGGTGAAAACTTTGATTTACTAAAGTGTTAACTATGACACTATAGTCTTAACTTTGAAAACTTTGATTTACTATAGTGATCACTATGACACTATGACACTATAGTGATCACTTTGAAACTTTGACATACTATAGTTAACTATAGTATTTTTTGTTAGGGATATATTTTTGCCACATCTTGTCAGATGCTTATGTGAACATCTTACATGTCGACATAATTATATGACAAGTCGACATAGCATATGACAAGTCGAAATCAGAAAATTATGTGAACTTGTCAAATAACTTTGACGACTTGTCAGAAATTATGTCTAGTCGTTAGGTAAATATGACGACTTGTCAGATTACTTTGACTTGTCAGATGGTAATGTTGACGTGTAAGATATTTATGTAGGCTTGTCTTAATGTCGATTTGTTATTCTATTATGTTATGTTTACTTCATAGACATTTATATCGTTAGATATCATGATGAAAATTGAAAATCAGTAAGTGGCATTAACTCTCTTTATTTACAAGATACTGAGTTCTTAGCCCTGGTCATTATTATCTGACAAGTCGACGTGAAGATCTGACAAGTTATGGCAGAAATATGCCATCATAAATAATAGATTTTTTATACGCATTATATTTCACAATATATGACATCTTACCCCATATAAAAAAGTAGCTATTGTAACGTTGTCATATACCTAAAAGAAAAAAAAATTAATAATAATAAAAGAATAAAAAAACAGTTGCAACATTGTTTTGATTTATTTTGCTTATTGCAGTGAATTAAGCAAGCATCTGCTAGACATCTGTAATCTGGCCGATGTTGAACGGAAGTTGGAATTATACAAAGCCATGTTTTACCACAACATTCCCTCATATCGGGACACGAACTACGTCACTTCCGATTCTCTTAAAATAGAACTAATTGCCGGTGGTCTCAACTGGAAACAGCAAGAATTTGTCATGAAAAAATTGGAACCATCGAGATATGGCGAGGTAAGATTATTTTCTTTTAATTGAAGTTTTAAAAAAAATAATTGAAATGTACAATGTATTTATTTTATGCCCTTCTGCGTTTGCAGTCATGTATTTAACCATAGCAAGGAAATTTTAGAGGCTTACTTTTTTTAATTCTTTGTAAACTATATCCCATTTTTTCTTTTTACATGTACTTTATTTTCCAGATTTCATTTCTGGATTATATGTGTTACATCCCGCTATTTCTCTCGATGCACGATAATATTTGTTACAATCCTCTGGACATGTCCAACAAAAAGTATCAAATGCCACCACGTAAACGACCCCCGTCTGCCCAGAGGGACATGAATCCATTGGGTGAAAGATTGAAGAAGACTTCAGATTTCCTTATGAAACGCTTAGCAAAAGATGTTATGGAAGGAAAAATTAATGATGAATTTTTGAAGCCAGAGGAAAAGGAAAAACTGAAGAAATATGCTGTGTAAGTTCCAATCCAGCCGTAATTTTAGAGACTTACAATTATTCTAACAATTATTATTTAAATTTGACCTACTTGTGTAAATATTGAATTAATTCAAATTCTATCGAAACATGCTGCTTTACACAGCTTCATTTAATCAGTTCCTCTTTGTTTGTTTTTTCGAACAGACTTCCAGACATAAGAAATATATTGAAGACCGAAAGAGAAGAAACAGCAGACGAAAGCTCTTTCAAAGATTTGATCTATTAATGTGTTGTGGAGATTCATACATAATATTCTGTGTGAAACTTTATCTATTTTTTATATATAGATGTATCATTATACCTCGAATGAATCAATAATTTTGTAAGTTTTATTACATTGTATATTGCTTTTGTGGAATGTTTATTACAGTAAACTACTGTAATACTGATACAGTCTTATTAATAGCACAGGTTAGATCATCTAGACACATACAATATGTTCGAATTTTACCTTTGAACATACATTTTTGTTTTGTTATCCCCTACAAAAATTGGAGGGGATATAGTAACGCGTTTGTGAGTGTGTTAGTGGTTGAGTAAATTCGTGCAAGTAGAAGGAATAATTCATATCGGGATCGACGTGTTCTTTTGGGGAGGATGCTCCACTCTGCGTTGCCCTTGTTGTTTTAAATTCTTGTTACAAGACTACTATAATGACCAAAAATATTGGTTTGCATCTTGTACATTTGAAATTGCCAACGTGTTTTATATATATATATATATATATATATATATATATATATATATATATATATATATATATATATATATATATATATAATTTAATTTTGTTTGTATTATAGCCTCTGATTGGTTAATATCCAAAAAGGAACACAAATTATTTCTGTATAACCTGGTTTGGTATGGGGACACACCCCCCTGACAACCAGCTGAATCGTCTGTATCCATGCAATCCTCTCATTTCCAGTCCTCGGGATTCATGGAAAATTCCAGATTTAATAAATGTACCTTTAACTTCAAACAGTAACTCGGATCTTACCACATGTAAACAAAAAACATGGCTGCTAGGACTATGTATCAGTTTTTACCTCCCCTCGCTTCCCATCACTTCCGTTACTAGGGTTGTATTATTGAGCGGCAAATTTGAACTAATAAAAAGCAACGAAATTTTACACCCACAGTTGTTTAATGATTTTAGAATTAAATTATAAGGAATGACTCTAATTCTTGGCCAAATTATTCGAGGATAACCTGGTTTGGGTCAGTTTACGCTGTTTTATAATCCGCTTCGCGGATTATAAAGCGTAAACTGACCCAAACCAGGTTATCCTCGAATAATTTGGCCAAGAATTAGAGTTATTCCTAATATATATATATATATATATATATATATATATATATATATATATATATATATATATATATATATATTAAATTCCTTTATATTATTTCATAAATATCTTTTTATTTAATTAATATTTGCTTATATATATAATGTAACACTTTACCTTTGATTAATATCGAAATATATTTATTTTATAAGCGTGAATGAACATACAAAAATGTGCTTAAGACGCAAACTCGCTTATGATGTTAATGATATGAGTTAGATATTTACCATAACTAAAAGGTCATTTTATGCATTGAATAAAAATAGTGTAAATATGTTATACTTATTTTTTTTTTTTTACAAATAATGTTTTGTTCCTTAAATTTTATACTCAGAAAACCATAATCAGAAGAACAAATGATCAAAATTAAAAAAAAAAAACAGAAACCTTTTGTGTATCAGTTAGAAAGTTTATTAGAATACAAATGCATCTCAGAGGTAACAATTGGCTTTGTGAATTACCTTTGATAATTATAGAATAGTTTTTCCATAATTGACTTAAAACTGTATATCCTTATACTTCCATTCAATTGCAAATTCTACTTTAAATCCACCGAGTTCATCTTGGAGGCTCTGAAAATATTTGTTGGTATTGACATCCATGTCATTCCGTCATCCTCACTCATGACGTAACCCTTACCGTTGTTACTTATCCCATACAGGAACCCTGTCTCCTTATCTAGACTAAGCACTGCTGATACCACGGGAGATAAAACTAGCGGGGACAGAAAGAAACATCGATGGACGTTAATAGAATTAAATAATTATAGCTTGATACAGTGTTTATGTGTGACATGCTAGAAATAATTTCAACAGGTACTAAACAATATATAATATTAAATTGCGTACCTTGTATTTGCTTTCCCTGAATGATTTTGCTACATCCAATTGATCTCTTTTTTGAAATCCTAAAAATAATAATTCTCGTTACTCTCGACTCTGCACCAACCATCTCCACAGTTTTATTCAATCGCTTATATTATTCTTGGCAAATTCATTCCCTTATGTGTTAGACAAGGCTATCAATATATCTTAGACAATTCAAGACTCGATCCTGTCACGTTGTATTTTTTTTTAATTTACCGAGTGTTAGTTAATTTCAAAAAAATATACTGCCTCCAAGTGAATTTAAAACTTACAATATGACAGTCCAAATGAAATAAATATCAAGGATTATACCTTCCTGACGTTGGCAGGTCATTACAGACAATTGTCTCATCCCTGTATGAAACCCTCGAAATATTCTTGGTCCCTAAGGCAGAGAATTTATTACTGATTCTCAAAACCAATGCATATGAAGTTTGGGAATGAAACATTTGTGTTTTAATTATGAAATATATTCAGAAATACATACACTTAATTTCATTGGTACAGACACATGGATTTTTACAAGGTCCGCACATTTCTGGGTCTTTAGTTTTGAGACAAAGACACTGGCCTGGTTTGCAACAAGCACACTTCTGTTTGGAATTCCATGGACATTGACAGTCTAATGGTTCATCTTTGTTAGCAAAAACATATATACAAAACAGTTAGAATGCACAGTGGGGGATAACTTAAAAATAAACTAGCAAAAAAATCTATCTTCTATACCTTTCTTCGGTTCGCCCTGCACAAATGTCAGCGCATGTAAGGCTGTACTTTTGTCCCCCGTGTCATTCCAGCCTCTATACACCACTTCATATACGATACTGAAGAACCGCTGTCCCTCTAACACCGATGTGTTTACATTGTAGGAGATATTAAAAAAGATTTTGCTCGAGTGTAAAAAGGACATCCTTGGAATCTATTGAAATAAAGAGTGTTATGTTTCTCAATGCAAGGAATCTTTTGATAATGGGATAATGGAAAATATATCATACATACATGTATGAACTGCGTGAAAATTATGTAACAGCACTTCAAACTGTGTCATGAAAATTCCGGTTGGTGGTAACTGATTTCTCTAATAAAATTTCATACTTACATTGAATTTAACTGTCTTTCCGTCTTCGTCGATGGTAAGCTCGGGTTTTCTCACAACGTTTTGAAGATAATGCGAGTATCTGACGTACTGTAGTTCTGGTGGAAAGTAAAAAATGACCGTGACATCATAAGCACTTCCTGTGGAATTCACACTGTGATCCAAGCTTGTCCGCAACTTTTGAGTAACACTATGATAAAAGGAATACAAAGCCTGGTTGCATTTGAACAATGATATACTTAAATATATTTTAATATGCTAAAATAAGAATAGATCAGAATTTATATATTGTATATGAATCCTACTTACTCCCCTAATTTCTCAAAAGTCGAAAACTCTGTCATAGATATTTCTAAATCAGGGGCGTTCGGTTCCTGATCATCAGTCACAGTGATATTTGTTTTTCCTATCCAGATGAATTCATCCTTGAATTTGTATCCAATTGCTTCTTCGAGAATGTTTCCATGCTGAAAACCTGTGGATAAAGTATTCTATAATCGCATTGTATAGTAAAAATGACATATTGATATCAATTAAGATATTTAAATCATAATTTACCTCTGTAATCCAATAATTCTGAAATAGCAACAAATGTTACAGAACCAGGACTACCATCTATCTTATCGTCCTCGAACATAAATAAGGCTGCGTTATTTTCAAGTGTCCTAGTCTCGCTTAGGTAGTTGTCCTTTCCACGAAGGTTGGTTGGGGAAATCATCTTAAAACTCACAACTGACATTCGGGCTGTATATAGAAGAGATCGCTTATATTTTTTGGTGTAACAAAATTCTTACAACTAATTCGTTTTCAATTGAACCTTAATAATCCACATATTATTATTTGATTCACCATTCTTACACATTTACATATTTATCCGGTCTTATTTGTCAAAAAGGGAAATAATCAAATTAATGATAAAGCATCCTTTTCTCGGATATCTTAAATTCTTTATTCACAAGAATAATATCCATTTTACCTTCAAAATCTTCACAGTCATCACAATTTGTTGGCATGTACAGTTTGAGATATGAATCTGTGACACTCTCTGAAGGATAATCTATTTTGACATTGACTGTTGTCAGGTTTTTCAGGTGTAATACACTTGGCATAGGAAGAGATATATTATACTCGGGCCATTCTTGGACAACACTTTCAGAGTGCATGGTAAATAAACTGGTTTTCTTTGTATCTGGTGGAATTGGATTCAGTTGCAAGGAAGACCTAATTGGTCCAGATGTTCCTTCTATCAATTTGGTAAACACAATTAGCTTTATCATACCGAAATAGGTAGAAATTTCATGAATGTTTAGAAAAGTTTTTTTTTCCATAAAAGAATCAATTACATTTTTAAAAATTATATGCATAGTTACTTTTTGCTGTGATGCTGTAATTTCCTTCTACCGTAAGGAAAACGCTCTCATTTCTTTTAATGTTTACGAGTATTTTCGATTCGCTTTGTTCAGAGGAGTGAAGTTGGTGCTTAAAGAAAAAAATGCAATGATCAGAAAAAAAGAAAAAAAGGAGAATCGCCATAGACCAAAACCATAGCTTAGAAATACTCCTTTGCAAACAATATATTTCAGTGAAATATTTTTGTGTTATTTTCGGTCTTTTTTTTTTTTTAAATTTCAATCACTCTTCATTCATTATTTCTTTAAATTCAATTTATCATTTTCGAAATTATCAATATATTGTACATGTATTTTTTGGTTAGAGAAAACTCAAAACATTCAAACTAATTTTAACTGAATTAATGCATTACCTTTGTGTGATTGAGTGAGGAAAGATAAATCTGTGAGTCGTTTTCCAGCTTAAAAAAGATATCATAATTTATTCCATTTTAGCTTCAATGTTCAAGATGTAAAATTACTCGAGCTGAACATCCACACTAACTTGTGTAAAATAAATCAATTGAAAATGCTTTAATGACCAGAAACAATTCACCTTGTGACCTCCTGCTGTAATCATAAGTGTTAGATCCCGAACCTCCACGTTTTCTTGAAATGATATGTTGATATGGAAATTATACTGTATTACAGAATCCATCTCAATTTTTCTAGAGTTCAAGTATTTCAGACTACAGTTGCGCAGTGTAGGCCGCTCGGAAATGGAAGCTATCCTGATTTCTCCTGCCACGTCTAAATCGTTTGCTCTGACCAAAGCTAGAGCAATAAACCAATTTTCAGTGGAAATTTACATTTTTATATGCAATATGATTCAAAACACTTAGATTTACAAATCAGCTCAAACCAGCATGTGGAGTTTTAAGAGAGATGTATGTATATAACGTCTTATGAAAGTTAAACTTACCAGTTTTGAAAAGAATGTAAAGATACAAAAATAAGATAAACAACATCCTCGTTCACTCCTTATTCTTGCAGTTTCATTGAGAACATCACTAACATACGGACTGGATTCTACTGCGGTACAACCAATTTCACACTGAAGATGACACTTTAAAAAACAGAGAGATCGAACATCTACCATAAAAATGGACAGGTAACCAAGATTCAATAAAGAAAGTTCATTCCTGGTCCAAGATCCTCATCAAAGCATTCATAGTTCATTGAGTTACATATAAAAAGGAGAAATACATTGAATGATTCCTTTTTTCCCATGAGGAAGCATTATGGAGTATTGATGTGAATACAGTATGACTAGATGGGGACCACTGCTGCTGAATATTCAAGTTCATTTTATTGGTAGGTAACAAGATTTGATTTTAACTTAATTGCTACAAATTATTTCTTCTTTGTCTAGCTGCGAAAAAACTGACAACTGACTGAAGTGCAATATTGGGATACTGACCATCATATTACACTTTTAGAAAGAAAGACAACTCTAAGAGGTACTTAAAAGAAAAATACAAATCTGCAAAGCATTTATCATATAGAGAAAGGGGTTTTTGAATATGCATTATACATGCAAAATGAAGTCAGATTTTTAAAAATAACAAAACATTGTTTTAATTTTAATTTAACAATACCCTTTACTTGTTTAAAAAATCAAAAGGAAATTGTTTTATCTGTTTATTATACATGTTTAACAATTCAAAATATTGCCGAATCATATCAGGTTATTGTTGATATTAAATACATGCAATATACGCGGGAACAATTTATCCCGAAAATTGTATATATTAGATTATGTAGAAAAAGTCTCTGTTTCTCTCTTAACAGCACTACTGTATAACCTTGGGAAAGATGCCATAGAGCTTCGTCCCTGGCAGGGATACTGGTTGTTCCAATCACTTATGGTCTTTTTCTGTTGCCTTACAAATAAGTACAGGACAGGGAGAGTGATGAACAACATAATCACTGACACTTCCCAGAATTGTCCGCCTGAACACGCCCATTCCTCGACTTCCGGTGATGATGAGATTACAATTCTCCCTCTCTGCTACATGGACTATTGCTTCTCCGGGGTCACCTTGTCTCGTGATGAATTTCCCAGATTTCTGTTTTAAATTGTACCAATTAAATATTTATTTAAATAAAGAAAGAATTCTTGGCAAAAGGATACGATCGTTCTTTTTTACAGTCCTAATCTTAAACAAATCATTAAATAAACTCAGACTCAATTAAGCAAATTATCTTTTAAATAACACCAGAATTAACACTCCGATTCAGTAACCTGATTTACTTATGTATTTAAACAAATTTAAGGGAAATAATTTATATTAAACACAACTGCATTTGAAGAAATAATGTAAAATAAAGTAACGTGTTTCTTCAACCATAATACTTATCATTTTACTGTACAATCAAGTACAATATTAATATATATCTATATATTACTATGTCTCTAGTAATTTTTTCGTTTTTTATTATTATCAATCTTCACATATATGCTAAAATGTATTCAATTTCTATTCAGTGCATATGGCAATTTTGAAATTGTATTTCAGTAACTAAGTAATCATAGTAATATCTTTTTTACAGCAATAAAATCTTTGTACAGTGCAGTAGTAATACAGTGAATAAAAGTCCTATACTCTCTGACTTACAACTCCTTTTTCTGCCATCTTTTTCTTGTATTTTTCCTCTAACTTTTTCACTTTGACTTTAATTTCATCCAGAATTTCTTGCAGCACAGTAGCACCTGCAAAAGGAGACAGCCACTATTATTTCAGAGTGAAATTGAAGATTCCAAGAATAAATATCCTTGTTTTAGTCAAAATGCTTAATAAAAGATTTTTTTCTTTCTACTGATTCATTAGTAACATTAAAGTCATAGTTTCATTTCAATTGCAAGTAAGATAAAATGGAAAGCAAATAGTTTTTGGTATTATTTTAATACCAAATTACATATACTTCTTTTGTCAAATGTTAACTAGAGAGTTTTGCTGTTTTTGTTATTTTTTTCCTATTACATTTTTAAGTATTTAATTCAGTTAAAACTTTGATGCATTTATTATATAACGTTAAATGAAAAAGGGTTCTTTTTTAAAGTAAGTAGGTTTATTTCAAAAATTTAAGAATTGAAATTAACAATAAAATGAATACATTCATCATTGATAACAAATTAAATCAATATTAATGAATCATGTTATACATTGCTAGGAGTTATGTACTAAACGTCTGACTGTCCCGCCATTTAACTTTATGACAGTGACTTATTTTATATATTTCATGTATATAAAACAAAGATTAATGATCTTAAAACAGAACTTTTTACTTTTTCATAACCTTATATATATATATATACAGTGGCGCCTCGTTAATCCGGACGCCTCCGTCCCCAACGAAATCGTCCGGATAAATGAATCGTCCGGATAAGTGAATCACTTCTTAAAAGGCGTACCCTCTTAAATCATATACATATGAACATAGTGGTATCAAATGTGAAGGCAAAGAAAACACCTTTATTTTACCTTGACTTATTGATTTTTTTTTATACTTTTAAAAAAATAATAGATATTTAAAAAAAGAAAAAAATTAAAATGTAATTTACACGATGAAAAATGGATAGGCAGTTTTATGTTGAGACTTCCTTTTCTAACACAGGAAACTTTATTCGCCTTCTATTTGACATTTAATTACATGGGCTGACCAAATTTTGTTCTGCTACTGTTTTATTTCGGCACTTTTTAAAAATATTTATTCAAGCTCATATTAAGTAGAACTGTTCATTATCATCATTGAGAATGTTCAAATGATAAACCGCATATATTCACTACATAGGGAAGTAAGTAACTAAATACTGCAATCAGTGTACGTATTGCAAACATTCAACGTAAACACAAGCCATATTCAGGATTATCAATACTTTTTCTATAAACTCTAAGTTATATATCTTGATAAGACGTGATCGGCATTTATAACTTACGCCAGTTACGTATTTCTTAGTGCATTAATAGAAATATATTTTCTTGATTTATGTATCATAATAAATTGTCTTATGAAAAGAAAAAAAAAAGGTTTCAAATAATGTACGATGGTATTTTGATAAACTTACGTAACTCGATACCACAACGAAATCTCGTGGTTTATTATTCAATAAAAATTTTATCTACAACTCTCCAAAATTCTCATAAATTTATATACGTTAGCAATTTAATTAATACACATTATAAGCTAAATTCTTCGGGCTTTATAATATAAAAGACGTGTGTTTTAGCTGAGGTAAACACACGCTAATTATAGACGTTATTGTTTAGAGGTAACCGCCTTCAAACTGACTCCACGGACAATGTTTTTACAATAATTATCACTACTGCAAGAAAGGTGTGAAAAAATTACCGTCCGGATAAACGAGTCATTTTTCAATGAAATATTGCGTTTTGTAGTAGAAATTGACCGTCCGGATCCGGAACGCGAATTTCTGGATTAATGAGACAGAATAACGTGGAAAAATTCTACAATACAAAACTCTTCGTATTGTTTAGAAATAAACATGAACACTTTAAAAAAAATACAGGCTATAATATTACATTAAGGGAAGCTGCATCATTTATTGAATAAACGACTCGGCAGGAGAAGTGCATGCATTCTGTGATGCTGAGAATTTGCCACACATAGACATTACATAACGTTTTTATCCCAACTTACGTTTAACAGGCGTGCCAAGATCTGTAATATACATAAAGGGCAATCAGGATTCTGATGTCAACAAAAACCAATTTAGAATAAGGATTTACATTTCATGGTCATTTTATGTTAGTGACTGTTTCATCATTAAGTATTGATTTCTTCTCAGAAATATTATTGCAAAGAACATTCACGGAAGTTATAAAGGTATCAAGGAACTCCCCTCGGTGCAGATAAAACCCTACAATTGTCTTCATTTATATCAGAAAAAATCCAAAATCGATCAGGCCATCTTAAGCTTGATTATTTCTTTATATACAATTGGTGAAAAGGGCTGGGTTTATGATCAAATAACTAATTATAGAAAATCTTCTAGAAATTGAAAATTATACAAAATAACTAAAACAATATATCGTCCAAAGTCATAGCTTATAATGTAAATATTGATAAATATAAACGATAAAGTAGACTGTGTATGGATAAAGCAGCTCAAAATATTTTTTTTTTATTTTTCTTAAGCAACTCTCAACATATCTGAAGCTGAAGCTCTTACGAGACACATGTTATCTTCATGTAAAAATAACACATGATCCTTTTTTTCTTCTATATATACACCATCCTTGCGGCATTTACTGCATAAACTTAATCAAGATATATCTTTATGTAAAAATAACATATGATCTTTTTTTCTACTACATGCACCATCCTTACAGCATTTAGTGCATAAACTTAATCATGATATATTGCTGCAGGGATCATCAAGCAAGCCATGGTTCCTGACAAATGTGCTTACTGAAGGTTCACGTCCTTTCTCACAATAGATAGGTTAGTACTTACTGGCGTCCATTACGTTGTACCTCTCTGGGGTGTGAATAAGAAAGACGTAGTCATCTTCTTTTTTCACATTATCAGCATAGACTAGAAAATGATAAAAAATTATACATCGAGGAAAAAGGCAATATCTTAATTATTTACTAACCTAGTTATAGCGTGCTAGTATTGCTTTATTTTAAAAAAAATTATATGAAATCAAACTTTCAAAATTTTATTAGATGTAACAGTGCAAATGTCAAGAATTGATTTTGTCTCTTAATTTATTGTACTCTCTGTAGGAATCTTTTGTCTGACAAGGTCACTTAACTATAGACAATGAAACGAAAGATGCATCACCCAATGACAGATCTAAAATCGATCCATTGATGAGGAGAACTCCAAAAGCTCAGGGTCGAATAAGAGAATAATCATGTTATGGAGCATATGTCGTTGAAAGCAAGGCAGTTTGAACATTTTTAAAAGAATTCATTCGTGCTAACATTAGAGACAGAGATTTAAAAATCAAGTTAGAAAGAAAACCCCTCTCCCATTGTAATTCTATAGCTAGATGTTTGTTAGCTCTTTGTTATAAAAAACAAAATATACGTAGAACAAAATACCATTTATACAAAGCAGTTCTTAATTATAAATGATACATACATTTTCTTTGACGATACGCTTATCATTTTAACCATTCTGCTATTGGTTGCCTTCTAGAAAAATCTAAATAACAAAACTGTTTACAATCATAAAACTTCTTTTTAAAAAACGTGTAGATGTGTGTCAACTGAGAGAATGCATTCAACCCATACACTATAGACGACGAAGAATCAGAAAATGCTAGGTCAGTTTTGGTCTGTAGCAGTCAATAGTAAATAGATGTCGAGAAGTTCAAACTGATTCACATCTCATAAATACATTTTATCATAAATGCAATGCCCCGACAGTATTTCTTCTCAGGGAAATTATATACAGTAAATTACAAGTTCATTTACTTGTTTTGAAGTTTAATGACCTTAAAACCCATAATGGAATCTCTACACTGAAGCTTCAAATCTAAGTTGGACAAGTCCTATGAAATCAAAGATCAGTAAATAAAGAAAAGTATAGAATGGAAAAGTTTTAGCACTTACAGTCAAATGCTTGCTCGGCAAATGCACTTTCGTCGATTCCAATAGCTACCTTTCGTCCTGTCATTTTTCTGAGGTAAAACTGTCAGCCAAGTCAGATGTGACGCTTTGTGCACTTGTTCTACCTGTACACATATTTTGTGTTCTCTACCATGAAGTTTATTTAAAACAAGATGCAGCGGGAGATTTAAAAAGCTGACGCAATAATTTAATTTTAATTGTCTATAGCATTTACGGAACCTTACAACGTATGAAATTTTGATACAATTAACTAACAATTTATTATTTTAATTTGTATGTTGCCCTCCAATTTACTTTTCAAAAAGCATCAATGTTTCAATAAATTTGATGTTAATGATTAAAAATGTTAGTGCATCATGTACGATTAAAAATCATCATATTATAGTATTTATAGTTAAAAAATATTATGCTTGTTATAAAATTTTATATCCCTACATCTTGATATTTACATGTATAGTGCGTGACACTATTGCAAAACTCAACATTTACACAGAAATTTAAAAAATAAATCCAACGAAAAATGTAAAGACGACGAACAGTTATCGATCTCATAAATCCATTAAATAATATACGAATTGTGAACAGGGGTAAAAAACCGGGCCCCTGGAAACACCAGAGGTGGGATCAGGTGCCAAGCAGGAGTAAGCATCCTTTCTTGTTCGGTCACGGCCACCATAAGCCCTCTGTATTGATCCGGTAAAAAGGAGTGAATAGTAGCTTAAATAAGTATAAAAACAATGGCCTAATAATTGGTATAAATGTCAGTCAAAATACGACCAAACGATAGGTTGTATTTTCAAATGGTGTAATTATAAATAGAAGCTATAGAAGTTTAGAAATGCTGACATAAAACGAGATATTTGAAAGCCCTATAACATCAACTCATTTGAAAGTAAACTGCTTCTGTGTAAAAATTGATTGAATGAGCTGGGAGACATATCACCATATACAGCTGATAGTGGAATATTTCTGCAAAAATAAGGAAATTGAAAATGGGAAGGCTAAAAGTCATCCCGTTTGTTATATAATTTAGTCGTTACCTGATCATGACCATTAACGTCTATAATCCTTAAAACATCCCAGTAGGAAGCAGATGTGGTCGACTCTGTCACGTCTCAACAAAAAGAGTTTTTTCCTTCTTTTCATGTAGAAGATTTTAAATAAGCAGGTGGTTAGAAATATCATGTTGTAAATTTTGAATTTACCAGGGGGAGGTAAATGCAAAATTTACATGATAGTTATCATGTAAATTTTGCATTTAACCCCCCCCCTTTCCTAGTAAATTCAAAATTTACAACATTCCAAATTCCAAAGACTACATATATATTGTCAATGAGGAACTCTAGCATCCTTTTAATATCAACTTCAGAGTATTTGTGTGTGGAATCAGAATGTTTTAAAGAAGTAATTTTGAAGTAACCAGTCATAAGATATGAAAGTTTTCGAGTTCCCTTATCATTCAATTCGAAACAGTTGTTGTCTGTGGTGTCGGAAAGCGTAGTGAGTAGTTTTTTGTGAGGAATTGTTTTATAAAGTGTGGAAAATTAAAGTTTGCGTTTTTGAAAATCCAACATTGATTAACATCACTTCTTGAATAAGTATAGTAGCACAGTAGTCTGAAGTTTCTCCTTCACAGCAGTTAATATTTTCGTAAGGGGTATAGAAAGAGGCTGGTGGAACATGTACTGGACCCTGCTATGTATCTTTCAAAGAAAGATTTTTAAAAATTGACAAAATTTGAAGAAATACTGCTACGTAAAATTAAACTTAATTTTTAAATGATATTTTTCCAATCTTAATTTGTAAAAATAATTCTTATTTTATTCGAGTCATAAACTTTAATCTGCCAATAGAGACTTGCACATAGTGCTCATCCAGGACCAAGAACGTCTGAAAATGGATTAACAGTGACATTGTCGAGATCCCTATGACAGATGTATGCATTCTTTTTAAAGTTGTGGAAATAACAGGCCTTTTAATTAAGCAAATTCAGGCATAATCGTCGAAAAATAGACCGTCACTAGTTCGAAATTAGCTGCAGAACTGTAGCGTTATGGTTTTATATTTTAGTCTTCGATCATAACGCTACAAATCCCGTAATGCGAATATCGTGCAGTTTACGGCCCAAGATTTTCTGCGCACTTTGGAGATGTATTTCTCCACTTCTCAGCATTTGTCAATCAACTACCTTTCAATCCCTAATTTTAGACATATTTTATAACCAATCTGTATATTTTATCCATCTCCTTTCCCTTTCTAGTCGTCTCTACACACCAATAAACTCGCTTGACGTGATTTTTATGCCATCCGACAACAAATTAACAAGTGAGTTTATTGGTCTGTGGCGACGACTAGAAAGGGTTAGGTAGTGGATAAAATATACATGTTGGTTATAGAAATATCTAGAATTAGGGAATGAAAGGTCGCCGATTGACCAATGCTGGAAAGTGGCGAAATACATTCCTAAAGTGAGCAAAAAATCTTGCACCGTAAATTGCACCATATTTGCATTATGAGATCTGTCGTTATGGTCAAAGACTAAAATATAAAACCATAACGCTACAGTTCTGCAGCTAGTTCGGCATTTTCGTTTTTCAAGCTTACAAAGAGAAGTGGATGTAGGTTATGCTGGTCCATTTTTCTAAGGCGAATACTAAGTAGTCTTATTACTACATTACACAAGAGGACCATGGGCTACATCGCTCACCTGAGCACTTTGGTTAGGAAAAAGCAGAAATCAGTTCGGTATTGAAAAGTTAAAAGATAAATCTGTTTCCGACATTTGATCTTCTATTTTGGCCTTGTCCTACCTCCAGGGATATGACTCAACACATTTGAAACTACTCTACCTGAGGATGCTTCAGAATTAATAAGACTGGATTTGATGTTCTTGAGAAGAGAATTATTATTGATATATCCCTTATGTTCTTTTTCATTACTTTGATCCCCTGTTGTGGCCCCATCCAACCCCAAGGGGTCATGATTTGAACAAACTTGAATCTACACTACCCGATGACGCTTTCATATTCATATTAATATGACTAATCATTGCTTTGCTGTTCTTGAGAAGAAAATTTTTCAAGATTTTTTCCTATATATTCCTATGTAAAACTTTGATCCCCCATTGTGGTCCCAACTTACCCCCAGGGGTCATGCTTTGAAAAAACTTAAATCTACTCTATGTAAAAGGTTTAAATAATTTTCAACTTTTTTGGCCCAATGGTTCTTAAGAAGAAGATTTTTAAAAGATCTGTGCATTCTAGTTAAAATTCCTGAAGTTGCAATAAAGTAAACCATTGGATAAAAAAATTCAGAATCTATTAGTAAAAATTTATTTCTCTGAATTGACTGTAAAATGTCTGTAATTAGTTGATAGACATAATGTTTTGAACATCAAATAGTATCAAACATTTTTTTCAATATATATTTGTTTAGTAAAGATAGATGAAGATCATTGATAAATATAAAACAGTTTTGTTGCACTCCTGACTGCAGTTAAATTAAAACCATAGAATACAAAAATTCATAAAGTGTTGGCAACATCAAGTGGTAACGATATTGTGCAATATATAGGTCCAATACTTCATAATTAAAACACATAAAAGTATTCAAACTTGGCTTTATATCTTGAATTATTCTCTATTTTTGTCAAAAAACTAGCAAAAATATATATTTAGAAGATAAAATATAGTATTTTATTGTATTTTTTTCCTTCAGAGGACAAACACTGTAAGCAACTGAGGTCAACCAGAAACATTCTACTCATATTTTTTTTTTTTTTTATATTTCTTCATATTTGACCTGCAATAATTCTAACATATTCGTTGCACTCCTGACCAAGAGCATGGGAGTCTTAAAAGAAGAATTGTGAAGCGAAAATTACATCGGAACTTGTTCTGTTGCTTCAATGAAGTTGAGGTGGAATTACTTGAATTTTATAACAATTTTTCAGTGTGTTTATTTTCTACATTCATAAAAAAAATCAAAGAAAAGATAAAAACACATCTGAATTGATAAAATTGAAAAAGAAAAGGATTTTGATGATAAAATTGTCAATAATTTAATACTAAATTATTCAAATAGATCATTATTAATTAAAGAATATTTCTTTGCATGAATAGAAGTCTTTTCATCATATAACTTGAATTTTAAAAAAATATGTTGCACTCCTGACCATAGAAATATAGATCTAAAACACAGACAAACCCTGTAATTTATAAATCTATTTGGTAAAAATGTTCTTTGTGTCTTTCCAAAATAAAAATCAGAGAATCATATACTGATAAAAGGTTTTTTCATGTTGGGGAGCAAATCATCAAATATTGCACTTTTGATATTACTGGGTATGCACAGATACTTGATTCTCATTAGTACTGCTTGTGATTTATATAAGATTTTGAAGATTTAAATTGTATATGAGTGATTGTTTTACACTTTGAAAATTCTTTTTTATTTAATTGTCTTTCAAATTCTTGAAATCGATGTTTTTGGCAACACTACATTTTTTTCTGTTGCACTCCTGACATGATATAACATTTTTTTCAACATCAGCCAAACAAAAGTTTTAAAGCTCAATACTTTGAATATCAGTTGAAAAGTCTTTATTTCCAACATAAACCATCATTATTTATTTCAGAGATCTTCAAAAAATATTGAATTTTCAAAATGTCACAAAAAGGTGTTGCACTCCTGACAATTTTAGCATCATTTTTGGGCATAACTTTCCTGTGAATTGAGATATCAATGAGATATTTGGCAGGTATTTAGACACTATCTAAAGACATATGCTGAGACAGAAATTTATTCCTATTGCCTGTAGTTTTAGTGCAGGTTGATAAATATGTGTTTGGTCTTTTTTTTTTTTAATTCACCCAGGAGCGTAGGGAGCCGAAAGGCTTTGGCTTCAGAAGATGATGAAAACATGGGGTCGATACATACTTTACTTCATTTTTCGAAATTATTACACAAGTACATACAAAAAAGAAAAGGGAACCAAGGACATCCCGAATTTACAAGAGGTCAAACTGAAAAACACTGTATTTTCAATAAATACCTTTCAGCCAATTCAATGAGGACTGGAGTCATTCAGCAATAATTATTCTTTAATAAATATATAATCACGCTCATTTCTGAAGCGTTTAAATCGTGTTTGACAAAGTCGATATCCTGGTACGCAAGTTGATGTTGCTCAAGTCGTCCACTAGATGAATTTGCTTAACACAACATCCCAGATTTAACGCGGGACGAGATCAAAAATGTTTTTCCTAGAGATTTCTGTCCAATCACTTTCCAACTTGTACGCAGTTTTTTTAAGTCATATGGCGTATTTTTGATAAGTTCAGACTAACTTAAATTTAAAAGATCTTTTTATTTATTTTAGTACTTTATAGAAAGATAGGACTTTCATGTAAATCACACAATTTAAATCGATCACGTTTCAAAGTTATTAGAAATTTAAAACAATAACCGATTTATTTACCGACTCCACATTTAAATAACAGACACGCGTACGGTTTGAAGGCAATTTAACTATAGAAACTTTATGTTAGCCAATTTCAAAATCAGTGAAAATTTTAATTTGAACGTAAATAACATATATCTACACTCAATCTCGTATTATTATTTTTTAGCTCAGATACACCATATCTGTTCTCGCCTTAATTTGGGCCCCATTGTACAAACGGAAAAGGCCATCGTAATTCTATAAATGGGAGAGTTGAGACGTATTTATGGGAAATAATAAGAGAAGGGAGCTCTGTGAAGGGTGAATAGATAGTTTATGTTTACCAGCTTCAGAAAGACTTCAAAACTGGAATTAATGTGCGAATTTCGCCTGGTTTTAGCAGATGTCTTAAAGTACATCGACTCGCACCTCTGGATATCGAGTTAGTATATCCCAACTTAAACACTTCAAATATGAAAGAGGTTACATTTTTATTTAAGAACAAATTTTTGTAGTATGATTCTAGTTGCTATTTCATTGGCCACAAGGTATTTTTTTAAATGTATTTTTAAAACAACCCCTTTTTGTATTATAGTGATTATGTAAAATCAAGCATAGGACATGTATGTTACCGGCCCCTGTGATGGTAAAATACTTATAAAGTATTTACGACACTCAAACATAATTTACCATGTATTCGGCAGCTAATGACAGTGATATCCATTAACTTTAAACTAATTTGCAACTTTTGAATACAAAAATTACTATTTAGGAATAAGATAATAATTCGTGTATTCAGTGTTAAAAATCAATTCAACATAAGTATAAGACGTAAGGTTCATACACCTCTTCAGAATGTGTTTAGTGTCTGGAAAAATGTAACTCCCTTAAGTTTGATTGAATGACTGATTGTATGTTGTTTAATGTCCCACTCTACAATTTTCCACTCATATAGAAATGTCAGTTTTCGGTGAAGAGTCACAAATTTTGACGTATGCACGGCGCTACGGTCGTAGCAGTTATGGATTTTATTGTGCCACGGGATCTCGAATTTTAAGGTCTCATTCAAAAGACCTGTGCCTTTCACTTCTAGGGCCAGGCGTTGAATGTTTAAGGGAACCAACTGTTTTTTTGTGTGAAGATTACAATCGAAAAACTTTATTTTTATGTCATGTATAACCTTCATTGACTCATTCCTTAGGACCTTGATGTTTATCATAACGTCATATGCACACAATTATGATATCTACCTCCCTGTCAATTTAAAAAAAAATCGTTCAAAATTATTTTCTTTAAAGAATTCATTTTTTAAATATTTGATGACTTCATTCTATTAAATTTGAAAAAAAAATAATTTCTTTATTATTGTAATTAGTAAGCGTATTTACTACATACACTGTTTTTCACTAAACTGCACAAAATAATGCGCAATGAAAACCATTGTCGGTTCCCTTATTGTACAAATATATCAATTTTTCTTGTATTTAACTTTTTCCACATCTGAATGGGAGATGAAAAAATAGCCAAAAAATAATCTATAAATTGTGTATTGCTGATATAAATTATTTACAATTTTTTCATCCAATACAACAGAGAAACTGTCGCTTTAAAGTGGTCAAAAATGACCTTGCTTGTATAAGTGGAATTCCCTCTGAGAAATACAAAAATCTCCCATTCGTTGAAATTGTTTTCAAGAAAATCTCGTAGGTTCTTGCTTTCATAAAATGTTATTTTGAATTGTGCACAACATTAATACTTATATTTGTCAATTCGTTTTTACTTCCAAAGTTTGTAGATTTTTATAAATGACAACATCAAGATAGTAAAAACCGTTGTTAAACATGAAGGAAAGTAATATACACAATCAATGTCAGTTTGCTGTTGAGGCAAATCAATACTGATGTGTTTATTTTCAAATATAAGCGGGAAAAATGGCCATTCGTTGTGGACATGGAATGTACAATTTCAATTCACTTCCGGCACACCAAAACGGGGCAACTTGCATGGTGCATGACGTAGTCACTGACACTTCCCATGAAAGTGCGTCTGAGCAGGCCCATACCACGACACCCTGTGACGATCAAATTAGCATGTTCCTTCTCCGCCACATGGACAATGGCCTCCCCTGGATCGCCGTGTCTCTTGAGGAATTTAGCCGATTTCTAAGGGGAAAAACGAAAGAATTCTACTGCATATACATAAAATGTACGTATTAATTTTACTTTATCATTTATTGTTCTATTTATTAAGTTTTCATTCTATTATAACAAATATGATAATTACAAAAAAAATTTAAAAATCAGAAAAGAATTACATAAACATGCACTCATTATTGTTTATTCTATAGTCAATGGTCCCCCTGATATCGCTAAAAGCAAGAAAAATTCTGTCCATCAATCTGTCACACAGACTTTAAATTAACACTTTAATTGCCGAACGATATCTTTTTAAGTTTATCAATGAAATTTTATATCATAGCTTCTAGTGACGTAAAATGGACCCTTTTTTTTAATTTTAGGTCTAAGGGTCAAGGTCTTAAATACATATACTGCATGAAATTGAAAAAAGTTTCCAGATACATGATAACTTTAGTTCTCTTTGATTACTTTGTGTAATTTAAAGAAGACCCCTATTGATTTTGAGGTCAATATGTCAAAGGCCAAGGTAAAAAAATCACAGATTAATTATATAAAGTATTTTCAGATGATAACTCTAATTTTCTTAATTTGTACTCTTGCAAAGAAACTTAAAGGATGAAAATCTTTCTATTTGAAAAAGACCCCTATTGATTTTAATGCAAAAAGGTCAAGGTCAATCCCTCTGTTTCTTCCTTATGTGGAGTACATTAATTCCCTGACTTAACTTAATTCCCATTCATTTTTGTGGAACTTTAAGAGAAGCAACAAAAAGGCCCCAATCCTTCCAAAACCTTGTTATTAAGTTACGTCTAGTAGAGATAACGCTGAATTGAAGAGTATACGTCCGTTTTTTTATGGTTCAACTTTGACTCTCAGTGAGGTGCATGTTTTATTCATTATACAATAATTATTATTTTTCATGAGCTTAAGTTTTCAAGATTTCTATATCCTTGATGAAGAAATGAAATTTGAAACAGAAAGAGAAAGTGTAAGGAAAAAATAAGGATAATTCTACAATAGAGTATAATCGAAATTATTTTAAACTAAACTTTTTATCATCTCTAGCATCCAGAGTTCAGTTTGATATGGGTTGATCATCATATCAATTCAAACTTTATACATGCTGTAGAGAAATATAAGACGGAAAATAGAAGTATCTACTTACAATCCCCATTGTCTCTATTTTCTTGTTGTATTTTGCTTCCAGAGCCTCCACTTTATGTCTGACTTCCTCCAATAGCTCACGGTGAGGGTCTTAAAAACAATTACAACTAACAGACAACAACTCAGATATTCAGTTAATCTATTATTCCAGTTTATGTTTCTCTTAAATTCTAATTAATTGCTATTTTTCACAGTTATATATCATTTTTGTTACTTTTACTTTTGTCCTTGCCAGATACTGTGCTATAGACAACACACAGAAAGTGATAGAAAAAACACCAAGCCTTACAACACACATGAATGTTAAAATTTAAAAAAAAAAAGCCACCGAAAGCAAAAAAAAAAAAGAATAATAATAATAATAATAACAATAATAAAATAAATACATAAATAAATAAATAACATGCAATACTAAATTTTCAACGTGCATAAAATAAGAGGAATTAAAAACATCACGTCCATGATAAGTGTTTTACAAGACATAATTGCCATTATTCTTATATTTTTAATACAAGGTAAAGTTATATTAGACAAAATGACGTATTGTAAGCTTTCATTAAAATTTCGTTTATTTCCAACCTTTCATCATGTTATATTGTTTAGTGATTTTAGCAAGACAGAGAGTATGGTTAATCAAAACATTTGACAAAGAATTCAACAAAATAAATTGTCATCTTAACAGAACAGGCAACAATAGGTTTTACAGATTACCGAGAGCAGTAGGGGTGTATATCAAACTCACTAAATTTGTCATGTCAGGAAAAACACCTTCTTTATAAAACTTGTGGGTCTAAATTTTTTTTATCAAAAGTATTCAACAAAATTAAATAAAAGAAAATATCATGGTTAAAGATTTTATTTCATCTTTTCAGAACACAGGAATATATATTAACAGCTATATAACAGACAAAATAATCTAATACGATAAAAAAAAAGTTGTGATTATTTTGTGATATTGCCAAAATAGTAAGGAGGAACTTCATTTAATATTCAAGAACAATATTTCTTCTATAAATAGAAAAGATTCAATTTCCATGCTATTGTGACACTGATATTATGATAATAGACTTCTTCGGTAACATTAACAATTTATATGTATATTTATAGATATGTGAATTTCAACTGAATACACATTTGTAATCTACAGTAACGTAACAGTGGAAAGTACACGGGAAAGTAAAAATTATATTAATAAAATATAATAGGTAATAACGGAAGTGAGTATGATTGTTGGTCTGATTTTTATTGCTGTTTACTTCCGGCACACGAGAACAGGACAGTGGGAATGATGGAGGACGTAATCACTCACGCTCCCCAGTAATGTCCGCCTTACTATACCCATGCCTCGACAACCAGTCACTATCATATTGGCCTTCTCCTTGTCAGCCACAGCAACGATCGCTTCTCCGGGTCCGCCCTGTTTGGTCACAAACTTTGACGATTTCTGTGGGTTTCAAACAGTGATATTCTTTGTATAAACATTATTGCAAAGATGAGGTGAGAAAATCTCTTAAATGCTCCAATATCATTCTTCTTCTGTTGCATAAAAATTAAATTCCCAGGTACCTTTTTATTGGTTATTCTACTTTTGAAGAATTATGTTTATATCTCCATAAAATGATGAAATATTATGGAAAGAGTTGTAGTCTCGCTTTTATACATTTATATATTGAAAAAATAAAATATTTTCAATTTTGATAACATCTGGTTGTATCTTCAATAGAACGAATTTAAACCATGCCTCTTTAGATCCAGAATAGTGTATCTAAAAATACTGAGTTATTGACACACATGATAACAGCATGAATTTAAAAATGTCAAAATGTCTGGTACAGATGGATAAAAAGCAACAGCCTTGTCTCATTGTTTTAACGTTTCTCCCTGTAAATAGCCTTCAGAATAATCAAACCCAAGACAGCCACGGATTTGAGTGGTGGTAGATTTGTTCTTTCTTTATAAAGCTATTCAGTTGTAAGAAAATATAATCAGATGTAAAAACCTATCCTAAAATATCTTGGGAGAAATATCTTTACTTACGATGCCGGCCGCCTTTATTTTCTCTTGGTACTTGTTTTCCAGAGCTCTCACTTTTTTGTTAATCTCATCATACAGTTCGTGCAAGACAGCGGTGCCTTAAATACAGTGATAAAAAAACTCAAAAATACAGGGGAAAAAAGGACAAATAAACAATAATTCTGGCTGATAGAGACCATTTTTATTAAAAGGGGGATCACTGAAGGTAACAGATGGCACCCTCATGTCTGGCCCCGGGGCCATAAAACTTAGACGAGCTCATTTTTGATCTCAGTCTCACTTTTCTACTATTAAATCCTTTGGTAAAAGTAGACTAAGATCAAGAGTGAGCTCGTCTAAGTTTAATGGCCCCGGAGCCTGAACATAAAATTTGAACTTTGTTTCAACACTTCATGGTAAGTTTTCACCTAGATTATTCAAAAGATAATCTAAAAAATTATTTTTTTTAAAAAATTTAATACATGTGACAATATCTAACTTTGTTCCCATGTGCGTTCCTTTCCTTCGTCAGGAAATGTGGTCTCCTGGAGAACCTTGATACAATATTGTGAATTATTATTACAGATCGGTAATAGAAAAGACAAGTGTTCCTAAATACTGGGGACAGGACTTTGTACATCTATCAAAATTGTTGGCAATAACTGAAACATTATTTAAAAAGATTCTAAACTGGTAAGACCTCTAAAGTTTGTAAAACAAGCGATGTCTGTGATGTTTGAGCTTGTTTCCTTTGTTGACCAAAAGTAGATCCAAATTAAGAGAATGGTTTCATAAGTGTAAGCATAATAGGAAATGAATTCAACATCTATGTCCAGACATACTGCAAATTAAAAAGACATCAAAAGCTAACACAAATACATGTCACACTACATTCATATTTATATATATACTGTAGATATTCGTGCAAAAAGACATGCTACACACATGCATTCATCGTTTTATATGGCTTCGTAGACAACGTTAACTTGAAATCATTCTTTTTTTTAATTGAGTAATAGAACCTTTTTTATGCTGACAGTTCGCATCGAAGCCTTCAATTTGCAGGAATCATTCAGCATTAAAGTCTGTCCTCTAGAAGACTATTTCAGTCTTCAATGTTTTCCACTGAGGTTTTCCTAATTGATTGTCTATTCGTATGTTACATTACAGTTATTAGTTTATCATTGTTTCTCGAATTCTATAAGCTTACAGCTTTTCAACCAAATTTCTGCTTGTTCTTAATGTCATGTTTCTAGCTTGGTAAATGTCAATTTTTATGTACAGAATTTTTGTACTGTAACTTTGTTTTGTGTGTAATGTTTATATTTTAATATATCCTTATAAATCTAAACCTTTTAAATTTTGTCATGTTGTGTACAAAACTTAATATTTTATCCATTATTAATAAACCTTCTCAGTTTTGCTGTACTTCGTAAATTTATTTTTAAAGGTGTTTTCTATGGGTCTTAAAAAAGTTATTCTCCAAATAATTTAAAAAAAAAAAAAAAACTATGTAGATATGTAATAACAAAAAATATGCGCAGGTTTTTATTGATTTAAAGAACTTACGCTCTACAGGAGTACCAAGATCTGTAATTAACACAAACAACATGGCGTATACAGGCAAATCACTCACCGTGGTACTGCACGCTTACTAAATCACAATGGAGGCAAATTATATAAAGCTCAAAATCTCTAAAAGCTTGGGACATTTCATTTTTATCCTTTAACACTTCTGTTTTTGATTTAAGCCTATTTCCGAGAAATAAGTGATGCTGACATGTCTTAATGCCACGTGCACACCAATTTAATTGTTATCGTAAAGGATAGTTGATATTCTATACGTGTTGTCCGCTTTTAAAAACGTTAATTATTTTAAGGAAGTTGAACTATACGCTGTAGATGAAATGAAATCTGCCGTACAAAAGACCTTTTATGATAAAATTGGGAGAAAAAATAGGATTTTTTTAATGCACTATCTATTGAGCTGTAACATTGGATTCATCAACAGCTGGCCAGGACGGGTGGAGATTTAACATCTTTTGAGTTTACAGTGACAAGATTCTTTCTTGTTTCACAATAACACCATTATATTTAGCTGATTAAGATATACCTGAATAAACATTTTAACAATATTTTGGGTTTTTTTTCCTTGAACAATGTAAGAGCATAAGCAGATACACATCTCTGTCTTTTAAGCGCAATGAATTCAAAGAATTATTTTAACACAACCCTATAGTATTTCGCATTCCGAAAGCTGCTTTAATTTAACGTGTGCCGAGTTGAATACACATAATATGCAATAAATATATATCATATATAATGCATGAATTTACAAAATATGTTCTATCCAGGGTTAACAAAGTATATGTAGTCAATGAGTGAGAGAAAGGTAAAGACTTGTTATGAATAGGCAACGTTACATGTACCGTATTGTCTTTTCTGGCAGATTTCATTTTATCTTGTAAATTCTGCAAAATAACTACTCTAAAGTATTTTATTAAAATTTATTTGATAAATAAAAAATATGCCTCAAAGCAAATATGCTTCAGCTAATTAATGTGCTTTTTTCCATATTAGACAAAACGACCAGACAACAAAACATATTCGCTAAACCATAAGGTTCATTACTTTCTCTTTCTAATTCATCTTACTATAGTTTCAGAAGTTGTGAATGTTGTGTGACATAATGCAATCCCTTTTAGCATGTTATATAAAGATTACATTACAAAATCTATTTTTTCCTAGTCATGCAAGCGTTTATGTGGTGGTGTTGCAAAGCTTTAAGTCCACATTGAAATTGGAGTTTAATTTACAATAATATTCAAATATACTACTAAGCAATTTCTAGCTCAGAAAGTTAAAGTGTTTGGCAAATCACAAACATACATTACATGTCTTCTAGAGTGGACGCGTGTTAGTCTAAAATGAACCTTTACTCTGTCAAAGTAGTTATCATTGCCAAATGTGTTATAATTGTTAAAGTAAAAGATCTGAAATTAAATTAATTTAAACTTCTCATTAAACAGATATATAATATAATTTAATATGTTATATACTATTATAGATGTATTTTTCATCCCCTTAAACGTTTATATTGAATTTTTACTAACGTTTATGATGAATTTTTTACTTGTCTTGTTTTTTAACATCCAAGCACATTGGTTTGACTTTTTTTTAAATTTGAATCAGGTATACAATATATTCTCTCCAGAAATTTAAGTATGCAAATACAGTTCGTCTGTCAATAAAAAAAAAAAGATGGTATGATCTTGGTTGTGGTATGACCTTGATAGAAATCCACAAAAAATTATCGAATATGAAGTACTATATTCAAAGCAAAAGGCTGCAAACTGTCTATGTTGGTGGATTGGTGGGGAAAAAAATAATAGTCCATAATGGTATTTATGAAATTCACAAAACATGGAAGAAAGCAATTACATTTTCAACTAGTGATACCTAAAATGTTACTAAACAAGTACAATTCAAATTCCGACAAAGGGAATTCAAACATACAAGTCATATGAATGCTCGGTTACTCTGAAGCGCAGTTACTACTGAGGGAAAATCCTTTGGCGAATTACACGATTAGCTTAATCAATTACCATTGATTACATGTTTCTATTTTTAATAATAAAGCTGGATTCTTTAGTAATTTGCATGTATAAAGTCAAGGGAACATATCGACAATAGAAAGTTTTAAGTTACCTACGGGATTAAAAGCATTTGGGGAAATGGTAAATATGAGTACTGCTAGTATTATTATCATGGAAACGAACACTTACTTGCATCCACGAAATTGTACCGCTCTGGTGTATGAACAAGAAAGAGGGTATCATCTTCTCGGAGGAAATTCTCCACGTAAACTGAAAAATACATATATAACAACAATATTGAGTGACAATCAAAGTAAATATATTGAAATAGCTGTTTATCCATTTATTTATTTGTCTTCCTGGCAAGTAGGTTTAAGTAGATTTCTACCTGCTGTGCTCAACTAAGGCCAGATAAGATTTCTGTTTTTTGCTGTTTTGTGACATAAAACAAAAAAAAAAACAAACAAACAAACAAACAAAAAATCCCAGGCCTTGGGTGAGCAATCACAGATAACAATGATAACAATAAGAGAATAAACAGCAAGGCATTATTTCTAAAAATTGGGCTATGTTCGGTCATTAATGAATCATTAGACATTCTCACAACCAGTACGCTCATTACGATATCGACTGTGGCATTCACGACCCAAACCCAGTAACAGGAGTTCTGTACAGCGTATATTAAGCATTGTTCTACACAATAAACGATGAGTTGCATTCCCAGTGGATAAGAATTTACTGTAAGAATCGAGTAAGTTGATTGATGCTGAATTATTGATCTACGAAACGGTGGAAAATCGAAACTTTGTTACTGTTTATTCCTTTTGTAATTAAATGCTGAAATGCAGAACTCATTATTAATTCAATTAAAAGATCGTGTATTCCCTTACGAAGTCAACACATTCTGGGTTTGAAATTATTACTGTATGCCACGCATATACACTGTAGCTGACAAGATTAGGTGACAGTGAGCACAACCTTTGGTCTTCCGATAAAGAAATGTCAGATCAATAGTGTTATCTCCATGATGGTCAGCGTGACATACAAGTACTCCCACCCTCCCTTCTCCCAAAAATCTCTCTCTCTCTCTCTCTCTCTCTCTGAATGATGTTCCTCAATTCACCTCGTGAGCCATTTTCACCAACTTGGGACAAATCCAATATATTACGATTTATAGATGTATATCAACAACTGTACAGTTAGGCTAAGTACAGATTACATACTGTCAAGCTTACGGAAGATATATGCGCACTTCAGAAACAAAATGAAATTGATGTGCGGTACACATGTAAACGTTGAAACACTACAAACACACATGGAGCAAGTATACACGTCGTGTTCGCTACGTCCTAATAGAACTGTGCATAGTGAAATCCAAATGACTCTGATAAAAAGAGGAGATATTTGTTATGTTAATAACAATACTTCGACATTTGTTCAATTCGTTTATATTGACGTACTGTACACTGTACCTGTAAATAAATTCAGTATATTAAATTCCACACTTCAAGTATTTGCTGTATGAATAACTTTCAAGTTCAATGTACTACAGAATGTGCATTGACACCTTATTCTGTATAAAAAGGTTTTTTCCTGTGTGAATGTGCTTTAAATCCAAGGTCAGGATTTAAACTCTACTTGCATATGTCGTCACTTCTAACAGCTAAGTCTTCGTACAATGTATGTAAATACTTTTTATAGTGAGGATTTGAATATTTTAATGCACTTGAGTAAGTAAATAAAGTTAGTACAACACTTGTATTACTTTTTTTTTCTGGAACATTCACGAAACCGGTTGAACGATCCTAGGACATAAAAGATCAATTAGTAGGGCGGTTTTGCAGGGTTAAGCCATCTTATTTTTACACCTGCTCTGTGAAAAATCGAAAATCGTTGATTTCATCTAAATATAAGGAAATTAAAAACTTGTTTCTACCTGAGGTAGTGAACGGAGAAGTTATTCGGGGTGTTTTCATTTCTTCACATAGCCTTTCAAGATACACATAGTTGTCCATCCTCTAGCATTCGTTCAAGGGGACTGTTCATTTAACCTCGACTGCGTCCCGTTCGTACACTTAGAGACTGGACATGATGGTACATAAAGACAAAATAAGGTACTTACAGTTAAATGCTTGCTCCGAAAAAGCGCTCTCATCCACTCCGATGACAATCTTCCTTCCGCCCTGTGCCATTGTTTTCTTGCAACTGAAAATAATACCGGGTGTATGTGTATATGTGTAGTTTCAGCTAAACGAACTGCTACGATCTGCTTCACTAATCAATGAGTGAATGGCATGGTCTCATCTGCCCGAGTTGTCTCTCTTAGTGCAAGTAATAACGAAAACTCAGTGGCATAGCTACCATATAAGCATCTACATTATTTTTTCAATCAAAAAAAATTTCTTTGATGAATGAACGTATTTCAAAACATTTGATTCAATATTTGAAATAAAGTGTTTTGCATGTATTATCCTTACACTGCACAATCTAAGACTAAATCTAATACTGAGTCTTGGCAAATTCTGTGGCGCTCCAAGGGGCTTTGTTACAACCGCACTTTGAAAAATTACGCACTTTGAATTTTTTTTTTCAAAGTGCGTTAAATTTTGGACCAAGTTGACACACTTTGAGAAAAAAAATTCTTTTCAAAGTGCTTTAATATCGACCATATTAACGCACTTTGAAAAAAAAAAGCTTGGATAACTTTTCGGTGAGGACGTCAGGATCTGAGATATAGACATTATAAAGATTTTTAGGGGTTGTCTTGTTCCCAAAGTTTCTCGTAAATGTTATAAAAGGAAAATGTGTCTTTTAGAAACAATGGAGGAGTGATTTGTCTAATAGCACAATTTCGTTTCTTTTATTTTATCCAGTCTGTAATAAGTTCGGTAGATGTTTGGGTCCGTGTAAGTGACTTAAAGCATCGCATTTTTCTAAGGGAAAAGGGAGCAATTATGATTTTTCCATACCATGAAAATGTTTACAGAGAGATTACATGTATCACATATTGCGACAGGTGGACATCTGAAGACAGTTTAGCAAAAAGGTCATTAATTGATTTTTATGACAGTGAACATTTTAAAGTGGACTTTCAATTATAAAAGAATTAAATTACAATGTACTAAAGACTTCCTAATACTTTTTTCAGTATTTAGAATTTTTTGTCTTCCAAATATGACCGTTAGGGGTACAAGAAATGCGACAAAATGTTTTCGAAGATTGTATGCTCATTTAAAACAATTTTACGTACAAGACGATAGTCTTTTTTAGTTATTTGATAAGTATTTAGAAGTATAATTTAAGTTTATTCCCGCACAATATAATGTCCTTTTTACAGTTATTTGATTAGTTTTAAGAGGTAGGAAAAAATGTAGGAAAAAATGTATGCATTTTATGAAGGTTTTTTCTTCCTTTTTTTCTTTGTATTGTATTTGATTTCGGCTAAAGTATAGTCAGTTGAGTATTGTTGCTTTTAGATCAGCGATATAGCCCTTGAGCCTCTCTTAATAGGGTGCTTTATATATATATATATACATATATATATATATATATATATATATATATATATATATATATATATATATATATATATATATATATATATATATATATATATATATATATATATATATATATGCAAGTTTTCACTGCGACACACGCTCACATGATGGTGTGTACGGATGATTGTAAATTCTGCACGCTCATATAGGGAAAATAAATTCTAACTGCATTGAATTAGAGAATTTTGTTTTACTTCGATGTTTATAATTTTCATTTTCATATCCATAAACTATGTATGCTCGCATATTTCACATAGCATTAAATAGCGATTATCAAGATAAACGTACCCAAGCCACAAAACAATTAACGTGTCATCCACGCGTATGCATTAGACTAATACACACAACCTTTGGCTTGCATAATTACAATCAAGGTAAGTCATACATACACTTCGTATAATTATCGCGCTATTATCTGTTGATCATAGGAAAACACAGGTAACCCGAGCGTGACAGACAGGTGGGTGTTATCAATAGAGCATTCAGTTTACCTAACGGACTTGATCATCAGAGCGGAAAATTATCCTGACTTCGAGATAACGCATGTGATTTTAATGAATGGGTACACAAATTTACTTCGAGATAACCGGGGTATTCGACATTACCGTGTTCGACATAGAGGGGTTTATTTTAATCATTTATAAAGCAAATTTCGTCGGGACCGCGGCCTTACTTCGACATATCCCGGGTATTCGAGATATCCGTGTTCGAGATTTCGAAGTTTAGCTGTATATATATATGAAAAATATTCAAACACAGAGAACGAGTAAAACATAAGCGCTTTCATTTCTTCTTCATGATGTTTTACAAGCAAATATCACAATTGCACCTTAAACAGTATTTTTTCAAAGATGTAGGATAATTTTAGTGTATGTATTTCTTTTAAGTAAAATTCTGCCCCATAACTACGTTATGGATGCTATTACATCCAAGACTTTCACTCGAGTACGTCATTTCAAGTGTTTTTGGGGGAGGGTGCAAACTTGAATTTACACTACCTCAGGATGCTCCATATCAATATTACTAATCATGGCTTTGCTGTTCTTGAGCAGATGAATTTTAAAGTTTCTTCCCTATGTATTCCTATGTAAAACTCTGATCGCTCATATTGATCCCACCCTAAATTTGAACAAAATTAAATCTACCCTACTTGAGGATGCTTCTATATTAATATGACTAATCATGGTTTTGCTGTTCTTGAGCTGAAGTTTTTTTCAAGATGATTCTTATCTATTCTTATGTAAAACTTTGACCCTCTGTTGTGCCCCCCCCCAACCCGTGGGGGTCATAATTTGAACCAACTTGATTTTACAATACCTTATGTTGCTTCTGTATAAATATGACTAATAATCGCTAAGTTCTTCTTGAGACTTCATGATTTTTTAAGATATTTCCTATGTATCGTGTATGATCGTTCTTACAAGGGATATATATGTTTTCCTTTTACTCTGTCAGAGCTAATGATTGGACAACTCTGTCTGAGGATATATCAGACAGTACTTGAATTTTCTCTTATCTAGAGATATGGACTGGGTAAGATACTTAGTCTACTTGCACCATGCTTCTCCCCCAGCTTCCCATTGATAGATAAGAACCGGGTGTCTCAATCTTCTTCAGATTACTACACCCAGAACTTACATCAATATTCTCTAGGATACTTGCCACTGGCGCTTATAACTTTTAAACTTTTATTTTCCTCTTACCCATAGCTTTTTCATTGCTGATTCAACGGCCAACCTCTTCTCCTAACTTTTGAATGCCTGACTTTCGTAAGCTTTGCCTTATATACTCAGTACCCTAGCTATGGCTGGTCCATTCCAAGGGTTGTCAGGTCATTCCACTGTTTGAAATCTTCAATGCGTTCTACGCAAATGTTCCTCAACCATTACACCTATATATGCCTATGTAAAACTTTGACCCACTGTTGTGGCACCGCCCTACCCCCGGGGCTCATGATTTGAACAAAATTGAATTAATATTAATATGACTAATAATGGCTTAGCTGTTCTTAAGAAGGAAATTTTTAAAGATATTTCCTATATACAGCGTATTCCTACATCAATCTTTGGTCCCCTGTTGTGTTTGCGTCCAACCCCCCAGGGGTCATGATTTGAACAAACTTAAATCTACATGAGGATACTTCTCTATTAATATGACTAATAATGGCTTAGCTGCTCTTGAGAAGAAGATTTTAAAGATATTTCCTATATATTCCTATGGTAAACTTTGACCCCCTGTTGTGGCCCTGCCCTACCCCCGAGGGTCATGATTGGAGCAAACTTGAATCTATAGTACTTGAGGATACGTCTATAATAATATGACTAATCATGGCTTTGCTGTTCTTCGAGAAGAAGGTTTTGAAGACATTTCCTATATCGTCCTAATTAAAACTTTGCCCCCTCTTGTGGCCCCGTCCTACCCCTGGGGGTTATGATATGAGCAAACTTGAATCTAGAGCATGTAATGAAGCTTTCACCTAAGTTTCATCTTTTCTTGCCCAGTGGTTCTTGAGAAGAAGATTTTTAAAAAAGATGCTACCAAATTTTCACGAATTCGTAATCATTTCCCCTTGAAAGAGGGCGTGGCACTTCCTCTGAACAAACTTCAATCCCCTTCATCCAAGAATGCTTTGTGGCAAGTTTGGTTGAAACTGGCCCAGTGGTTCTTGACAGAAGAAGTCGAAAATGTGAAAAATTTACAGACGACGGGGGACGCCAGACAATCTTTGATAATTCTTCTTTTGATCCCTTAGCTTTTTAGCTCACTTGAGCCTTCGGCTCAGGTGAGCTAAAAAGCTAAGGGAACAAAAGAAGAAGCGACTTGCTAACTTATGCTGCATAGGGGTCTGTATAGCCCCAGCTGCCAAGCAAGGAAGGGGAGGAGTCACAGATATAGCCCCAGACGCTGATTGGTTAGGCTGTATAGCCCTCCTGTCAAGCAGACCCAAGAGGGGGAGGGATCACAGATATAGCCCCAGACGATGATTGGTTGGGCAGATATAGCCCCAGATGATGATTAGTAAGGGAGAGGAGAGTAAGATATTTTATGGAAAAATAGCCCCAGACGATGATTGGTTGGGCAGATATAGCCCCAGACGATGATTAGTAAGGGAGAGGAGAGTCAGATATTGTATGGAAAAAGGGAGGGTTTTTAATCATAATAGATATGGATACGTTAGACTGGCTTGCCTGCCTGATATGCGCGATTTTCGAACGATAGAGACAGGCAATACCAGTCGATGGATAAGTATAATCCAAGAGGAGGAGTCTATATTTACAAATATTTACTGTTAACAAAGAAAATGAGAATATTAAACTCTGAATATAGCGAAAGATTAAATGTCAAAGTGGTCTATAAATTGGTATTTTTCATATGACCTTTCTCCAACAACAGAAGAGAATTTACGTTATAATGATAGTATGAAGAAAATAAGTACATATTAAAACTACATGGTATGGTCGTATTCAAAATAAGATTTTCAAACATTCCACTTAGAAGGTTACATTCGTTTTAAATATCTAAAAACCTCTCGCATTTACGTTGAAAGTGTTCTTAAGTTTTAACAGTTATCGTGACCAATAACTCCTCTCCCGTTCTCTCTTTTTTTTCCTACTCTACATCACACTTTTTCCAGAGCTGTTTTGTCTGTCATGTGCAAACTAACTTCCTCCTCCCACTTTTTTTTTAGTAATACGAACTGTCATCATT